GGAGGGGACTATATTCGGTGAACCACAGGGACCAAAATTGTAGTTTACTCAAAAACATATTGTGAGGAACAGATAGAAAATGAAAAGATATTTGGGTTTGGGAGGCATGGCATGTAATTGTCATAACGATCTCCTTTATGTAAAGATTCGTAGTAGTTATGGCATATTTACTTTTGTAAAGTTTTGCATTAATTATAATTACTGGAGTAGTTGATCCACACATTCAACGCAAGGGGAGGGCGCGAGTTATTATCGTTTCGATCTTTATCTCTAATCTCCATTTCCTTTTGGACTTGCGTTTTTATCTCTATTCTCTCATCCTAAATCTTCCCTTCATCTTTTCGGATTTACAGACTTAAACCGTTGTTTGATCGCTCCATGGTAATTTTCTGCATCATGGGTTTTCATGAAATCAGGTATTATTTACTTGGGAAATTGGTGTTTGTATCTGTTTCACATTAATTTCCTTAGCTCGTCTACAAGTCTTTTGAACCCTGTGATTGTGTATAGATTGCTTGCAACTTGAATTTCTGGGGTGAGATGATTCGTGTTAGGTTCCTTTTTTGGATTACAGTTAGTTGGGATGAAAGCTTCTTGTAGTTAAATTTACTGATTGAGATGCTTAGAATGAAGTTAATTAGCAGGATGTTGGTTGGATAATTGTTGCCCAATTTTCTCTTCTTTGAATGGAAAAATGATTACTTGAACCTATGCTGGCATCCCAATTGATTTGGCCTATTGGTATTCATTTGCTTTCTAAATGAAGATAAAATCATAGTTATTTAGTTCTTGAAGGGGTATGCAATTATACATTATACCATCTCATGTTTCAAACAGAACTGTAATTAAGAGCAGGCTGAGGCTATGCGGAACACTAATGGTCACATTCCTATTATGCATTTGTTGGTAATTATCCGTTGCATTTTTGGAAATGGGGTGTACTTTCTGTCTTTCTCCGTCCGTCATGTTTCACATGATACTTCACTTTTTGTAGCCTGTTTTAGATGTCTGTCCCTTTTGATGAGTAGCTTTTCAGTGTATCTTTGCTTATTCGATAAAGAGATACCTTAGCTAACCTCTGCGTATAATAATGTTTCAGATTGTAGGTTCTGTTCCTCGGAAGCCATGAACCTTAATGCTGTCATAAACACCTAAAGCAGGTTCATCATGAGATGATGGAATCACCTGGTTAGCTCCTTTAAGCAGTTTTATCATGACCTTTCTGAGCTTCATTATTTTCATTTACTCACTTCCTCTTGATTTGCTTGGTTGTCTCTTGTTGACCAGTTGTATATATTGTAATTTTTGGATTTTCATACTTGGCTCCCCTTGTTAACTATTAAAAGATTATCAGTTGCAGCTGGCGGACCGAGGAATACGTCCGTGATTGTTCTTACACTTGATACCAATGAGGTATATGTTGTGGTTAGCTTGTCTTCTAGGACCGACACTCAGGTCATTTATATTGATCCCACAACTGGATCTCTTCAACATAACCGGAAGCTGGGTTATGATGTTTTCAACTCCCAAGATGAAGCGCTAAACCACATCACAGATGCCTCAAACTTGATTTGCAAGAGTACAACTTATGCCAAAGCTATATTGGGTTATGCAGTACTTGGGAGCTTTGCCTTGCTCCTTGTTGCGACAAGGTTGACTGCTAGCATTCCGTATTTGCCAGGTGGCGGGTGTGTGTACACCATTAGTGAGAGCAAATGGATCAAAATTTTACTTCAAAATCCTCAACCTCAGGGGAAAGGAGAGGTAAAGAATATTCAAGAACTGACAGAATTCGAGATTGATGGAAAACACTACTTTTGTGAAACAAGAGACATCACCCGCCCATTTCCTAGTCGTATTTCCCAACAAAGTCCTGATGATGAATTTGTTTGGAATGGATGGTTCTCGACCGCTTTCAGAAGAATTGGGCTGGAGCAGCACTGTGTCATTTTGCTGCAGGTATTAATGCTATAAGCTGTTTCTTTGAAATTTAAATTATGTGGGCATGTAGAAATATATACGATAACTAAATAACCAATTCTTACTTGGGAAAAATTCTATTGTTGTCGTTGTTGTACATTGTACGGTCTTAATAATTACATTCAATTAAGGAGTTGATTCTTCTACCGTTTGTAACGCTATGCTTGTGTTGTATATCTTGTTATTCATAAGAATCAAATTTTTTCAGAATCACAACCAACATGATTGAACCGTCATGTGACCATGTGATATCCAAATGGCATCTGGGATCTAATAGGATTACATGCTCAAGTAATCGATGTCAACTTACAGGGATTTGTAGAATATCGAACTTTTGGAAGCTTAGGCCAGCAAGAAGGAATTGTTGCTCTTATAGCTCGTCGTAGTAGGCTGCATCCTGGAACTCGATACTTAGCAAGAGGCATAAACTCTTGTTACAGCACAGGTAGATAGACATCTTTAAGATGGTGCATTTATTTTCTTGTGTGGATTTGTTATTGTTTAAAACTCGACATGTCTTATGTTTGTTAGACACCAGTCTTCTAGTGGCTGTTCAGGCTCTTGTGATTCCTTCTGTTCTCTTCCAAGTTGATTACATGATTGCTTCTGAATCCTAATGAAATTTAGAATGATTGATCAGATTTTATTCCCAAACCTTCTCCTGAGTCCAATCTACTTGGAAGGTTGTACCGAACACAATAATCTTATAACATCAATATTCTGGTTTTATTAAGTCAACGCTCCATTTTTGACTTTGATACTCCAATCTTGCAGGAAAGTCTCATAACTACTTGTGGGAAGGCAGGCAAGAAAATGTCTAATCTATGTTTACTTTCGTATAACTTAAAACTAAAACAAATATAAGGAAATGATTAATTATGATCAAAGTTATACCTTTTATTAGTTGCTCATTGGTATGGTATCCTTTTTTGATTACCATATATCTATATATAATGCAAAACACCTGGCATACGTGTAGCATGGCTCACTCGACCTTTAGTCCGTAAATGGTGTCTAGTTGATCAGAAAGCGAAACATACAAAGTGAGGCAGGTTAATTGACTAACCTCAAAAGATATATAGGGGAACAGGCCCAACACCAAACATAAGAAAAAATAAAACAAAACCGAACACCCAGCAGCTTGTAGGCTTGACCTTCTAGGAATTAGACCTTATCAACTCATGTGGTTGTTTAACCACAAATAAGTTTGTGGCAAGTTTTCAAACAGCAGATTTAGCAGAAGATAGGGGCTTTAAAACCTCCAGCGTTTGATGAAAATAAGCATGGGACTCTGACCAATTAGCAGTATGATTTACATCCATTTGTACATACTGTTTTATAGTAGTAGAAGACGTAAAAGATCTTCTGATACAGCTGTTGGTGCAATGTCTACAATAGCCTTTGCCTTTCCCAAAATGTTAGTCACTCAACCAAATTGGGAAGAAAGGCCTCTGAAACAAAGCCTGATGCCTTTTTACTAAAATATCTGTAATAACCACACCCATGTTAAAAAGGGCCATTATGATTTTTGTGGTGACCCCTATCATCAAGTGAAATGTGTACTCTATAGCTTAGAGATGAATTGGAGGTCTTATTCCTGGCAGTGAGCAAGCTTCAGTGGCCATAAGGATAAGCAATGGAAAAATATTATAACACTCGAGGCTCTTTGTACTTGTACATGCCGTATAGATATTATGTTTCTGATGCATTTGACTTGTTTTTATTCTCTATGCTTTTAATTAGCATCTGTATTGGGCAGGAAACGAAATTGAGTGTGAGCAGCTTGTATGGGTTCCAAAAAGAGCTGGTCAAAGTGTGCCTTTCAACACATACATATGGAGACGAGGCACTATTCCTATTTGGTGGGGTGCAGACCTGAAGATGACTGCTGCAGAAGCAGTAATTTATGTTTCAGATCATGATCCATATAAAGGAAGTGCACGGTATTACCAGAGATTAAGCACGAGATATGATGCGCGGGATTTGGGGGTAGTTGGTACAAATCAAAATAAGGGTGGTTTTGTTCCTATTGTGTGTGTCAATTTGCTTAGGAATGGAGAAGGGAAATCAGAATCCATTTTGGTTCAACATTTTGAGGAATCATTGAATCATATCCGGTCAACCAGAAAACTTCCTAGCACCCGACTTCATTTGATAAATTATGATTGGCATACCAGTATTCGATTGAAGGGTGAACAGCAAACCATTGAAGGACTTTGGTACCATCTGAAAGGACCCACAATATCCATAGGCATTTCTGAAGGTGATTATCTACCTTCTCGTCAGCATATGAATAATTTTCAAGGTGAAATTATTTATAATGACGACCTCATCGGTTTCTTCTGCTTACGAGTACATCAGAATGGAGTAATACGTTACAACTGTGCGGATTCTTTGGATCGAACAAATGCTGCTAGTTATTTTGGTGGCCTCCAAGTTTTCACAGAGCAATGTAGGCGGCTTGGGATATGTCTTGATAGTGACTTGGTTATTGGTCGTCAATCACCTAATAACCACAGTGGTTCTACCACATCATCGTCACCTGGATGGAAAAAACAATCCAATGATGCAACTGGAACGCCAAATTATACTGATCAGAACACTAGGACCACAAGCGGGAAACATCCATGTCCAGATAAGCCTTGGAAGCATTTTGACATGACATTTGAGGAGTTCAAAAGGTCAACTATCTTATCACCAGTATGTCAATTAGCCGACCTTTTCCTGATTTCTGGTGATATTCATGCAACAATTTACACGGGGTCTAAAGCAATGCATAGTCATATTCTTAACATATTTAGTGACGAAGCAGGGAAGTCCAAACAATTCTCTGTGGCACAGAATGTTAAGATAACCCTGCAGAGAAGATATAACAATGCAGTTGTAGATAGCTATCGTCAGAAGCAGTTAGAGATGTTCCTTGGACTAAGGCTTTTCAAGCATCTCCCATCAGTGTCAATCCGACCTTTGCATGTATGTAATTTTGGGGGTTATTATTTATTTTTATATTGCTGAATGCTAACTGTACAAACAGGTAATCTTATCTTCTGAATTGAGAAGAAATGTACATGAATACATATTATTAGTAGTAATTTACTACCAGGAAACTATCTTCTGAATATGTAAAAGGTAACTAGAAAGATAGACCCTAATTATCCACTTTTAGCTAACATTAACAAGTGCAGCTACATCAGTAGTGGCTTTTAATTAGGAATATGGTAAGAGGCGGAGCATATATATATATATATATATATATCACAATTGGGGTTAGGTTGGGGATGGGAGGGAGCATGTTACTCCTACCTTAAGAAACAACCACAGCGACAATAGAAATTACAAGGGGAAGCATATAAATAACTGGTTTTTCTGGCACTTGCTAGCTTTATTATTCCTAAATAATTTGCATCTTTCCATCATTCCCTATACAGTGGATAGCCTCTGTATAATCTATAAGGGAATCTGACGTTTAACTTATTTCTACATTTATTCTATCTCTAACTGACTAACTCTTTATATTCCCCCTTTGATGTATGAGCACTGGTCCCCATTAATTGATGTTCCTTGGATGTTTGTTGGACATGATGCTGCGGCAGACTATGCTATGACTTAGTGATCTCCTTCAGTTTTTTTCTGTTAGATATTTCAGTTTGTTGGTTTAGGGGGGAACTTCTTTGTAATACCTGTATCAGTTCATGTAGAAGTCGCAACATTTTATTTTGCTTAAAAAATGTACATCTCTGTACAATGGAACTTCGATTGTCATCCAGACCCTGCCATGCTATGAATTTTGGTTACCATTTTATAAGACCTTTGTATCTCAAGACTTTATTTGAAGATAAGTGTTCAGTTATGGTTTGATGGTTTTACTCCAGTATTTTGAAGCTTAGGGCCTCCTTTGGAGCAGCACAGATAATGATATCTGCAACTTTGTTTCATGCCCAAATGCAGTAGATGACGATTTCCAATGATAGTTACACCTTATTTGATGAAAAATTTCCAATAGTCATCTGCTTCCTGCTTTGATGTTTGCCGTTTACAGAATAATCTCACACACAAGCCCTCTCCACATCCATCCAGTGGGGCTTAGTGGCTTATTGTAATATGTGTGTGGTGAGAGGGTTTCCACAAGTTCATTATGTGGGATTCCACAAATTAGACAACTGCACATATATGTATACTTATTTATGTCTATACACATTCTTTTGTCTGCATACATTTACTTAATATCCTACAAGGTGAAGTCTTCTTGTGTTTTAAGAATTGGGGACCTCCAAAGTAAATCAATAGTAGATCCAATTACGAAATCTGAGTTGATTAAGTTTTCCTTCTTGGAAGTAGAAATATCATATTTAGGTTTGCTGTTTGTATCACTTTTTTCCCTTGCTAACTTTGTTTTTGAATTTGAACTACCACCTTTTGTTTTAATTAACAAACCAAACGAGCCTAGTCCGGGGGGAGGGTGGGTGGTAAGATGCATGCAGACCTGGCCTCTGCGCTAAAAGGTAGATTGGTTGTGTTCCGTACCTCATGTATACGGTATACCAAGTTAGGAGCAAGTCTTGGAACAGCCAGTAAGATTACTTGTTTGTGATAGGAAGGGTGGGAGCGTATGGATTAATTTGGATTAATATGGGATTATTACCACATGCTCATTCTATATTTTCTGCTTGGTTGATGATAGTATGCACAATAGACGGGTTCAAGTTGCTTTTTGAAAATTGCAAGGGAAATGTTGTGTGCAAAATTTTTCTATCCAAGCCCTTATAAAACCGATGGGCCTTGGAGTTGGTGCACCTGGGTTGTCCATTTTTATCTATGTGGAGGAGTTCACTTTGAATATCAAGTTTGCTTGTGACTATAAGCATACATACATTTTGCTACCATTTTGGAACAAAGCAAATTAGTATTAAAACATGATTTGTATTTTATCCTAAATGCACCCATTTATTTTCCAATAGAACAAATTCTTGGAGTGCCAAATGAACACAAATTGTGATACATCTTATTATGATGGTTACTCGAAGTAAACATGACCTACTATTTTGAGGCTTCATTGGTGCCGTGTAGCACCCATGTCACTGGAATAACTCTTCTTTGTATTGTGTGTAGAGCTTCCAATTAAAGTCACTTGATTACTCTTCTTTTCGTGGTAGGTGCTTAGTAGACGATCTGGTTGCCTTCTTAAACCAATTGCCAGCATTGAGGAGAGCTCTGGGGATGGAGACAGTCTTCTTAGTTTTAGGCAAAAAGACATCATCTGGGTAACTATAGTCTGTTTTCTTTTAAGGCCTTGTAAGAAACTGGTGTACGATATTACTCCTTTTTCATCCCAAAAAAGAGTCCACTTCACAGTTCTTCTTTGTCCATGAACATCGACCTATTCCGAGTTTTAACACTGATTTCCTAAATTAGCACTCCCTTTTTAGAACTTTGAAAAAAGAGTTGCTTTGTTAATGTGTTTGAACTTTTCTGTAAATCGACTCTCTTCTTGGGATGGAGCAATTATTAGTTATCAAGAGGTTGAAATTTTCAGTACCTAATATAATGTGGATTAATTGGTGTACAGGTTTCTCAACAGGCAGCTGATATAATCCAACTCTTTGTGTACCTTCGTGAACCCTGTCATGTTTGTCAGCTTCTTCTCACAATTTCACATGGTGCAGATGATTCAACATATCCATCAACACTTGATGTGCGAACAGGACGTGATCTAGATGTGCTTAAACTTGTTTTGGAGGTTTGACTTATCTCTTTCACACAATAGGCTTGTTGAATTGTAAACCACACTTCCCATCCTTATTTTTAAAATTTATATTACAATATTACCTGGTCTTCCAAAATGGATAATTTACAATTTGTTGTATGAGTTATCTTGATTCATCTCTCACTGTGTGTATGACTTTTCTAGTAACCACACATTGAATTAAGAACTAAAGAGAGATTTTTCTTGTCTCCCTTCCTGCATCTGAGTTGCCTTTTTTGGGTATAACTCATAAAAATGTACGCCACAGGTATTTTTCCCAGATCAATCGAACTTCAAAATGCAGAGAAAGATGGCTGAACTTAATTTGTTAACTCATCCTTCTAGCATATCCATGATTTATAGATCCACAGCTTTCCTCTTCTCCTAAATGATAAAATCCTCATATAGCACCCTAAGATTGTTTAGGCAAAAAAGCAAGTTTGGAAGATTACAACTCTCCCAAGTGAAAGAGAGAATATTATTGAAGGTCAAAATAAGAGGGAACTAAACATCAGCCGATGCAATAAGCAGTCCACTTTATTGCATTAAAATGCATGGGCAGTATGTTGGCCTTGTGCCAATAAAACCAACAACACTTGACACAGAACCAAAGCACTTGATATTTGAGTTCCGTTTTCTTGACATTAACTTAGTTCACTTTCTTTACTCGATCCAAATTACATGACTCATGATATGTGTTATGTAGTGCATGCTTCCTGCCAAATTGTGCTTTGATTTTCTTCCCTTTCCAATTCATTTTCTACATTCTATATCTAATACAATTTTTTAAATTATATCAAATACTAAGAGATGATATCATCTAACATGTGCCAAAGGTTATCATTTTGATGATGCCATGAAGAAAGGGAAAGAATAGTGTAAGAAAATCCTAGTAAATTTGTTTTCTGTATTTTATTTACATAGCAATCGCATGTATATACTCGTGCTAGGCTCTAAATAAGGAAGGGAATCAAATTAATTCCCGTAAATCAAATCTCTAAGAATCCTCCTAAATATGTACTCTCCTATTTTACAACATTTCTGTTCTATAATGCTCCCCCTCAAGCTGGAGCATTGATCTTAATCATGCGCAACTTGTTACAAAGGTAATTAATTTGACTCTTATTTAGAGCTTTTGTAAAAAGATCTCTTAGTTATTCTTTGGTCTTCACCTGTCCTGTAAGAACTAACTTATGTTGAACCCACTCAGAACGAAATGGCAATTGATCTCTATATGTTTTGTTCAATCATGAAAGATAGGATTGGAGGCAATATCAAGCACAACTTGGTTATCACGCCATAGTTTTGTTGACACTGAAACTGTAAGACCAACTTCAATAATATGTGAAATATGCATTATTTCACAAGTGATTTGAGCCATAGCTCTGTACTTTGATTCTGCACTGGAGTGAGATACCACATCCTGTTTCTTGTTTTTCCACAAAACCAAATTTCCTCCAAAGAGAACTCAATAACTTATAGTTGATTTTTTGGCCATCCTTGGATCTTGCCCAGTACACATGTGAAATACTCAATACAAGTATGGTTACGAATCTTATGCTTTAAACCTCGCCCATGAGTTCCTTTCAAATAAGACAACATCTGTTAAAAAAGTTTTCCAGTAATGAACCGTATAGAAGACATGAACTGACCCGCCCAACTAACAGAATATACAACATTTGGTAAAGTTACTTTCCGAGGCACTTGAAGTCATATGATCGGAAGCACCAGATTCAATGACCCATGATATGATAAGGAAAGAAGGCACGCATTTGGATTAACTGGATCAACATGACCTGGATCAACAGTGGTCATGATAATATGACATGAGGCCTCTAATGTTTCTTGGTGCCAAACAAACTTAGCAAATTCATCGGTAGGTACTGTAATTGTTTGTTTAGATGAGGAGTCAAGTCGAGCAGCAGTAACATGGGCTAAGGAAGGCTCTCAAAATCTGAGGAGTTGTTTTCGGCAATCGTTTTTAGCATGACCTTCTCCATGACAATAATAATAATACTTGATTTGCCTTTTATCTTGACTACCAATGCTGCTTCCTTTGTTATAATCTTGATGAGAAGACCTTATTGTCTTGCGCCTACAAGAGTGCTGGAAGTTGAAGCAAAAGACATGTGCATGGAGGCATTAGTATCTGTCTAGAGAACCCTAGTAAATGCCTCTTGCGAAAAGGAGATGTCTAGACATAATATGAGATTTAGCAATCTCAAATTGAGGATTAAGACCTTAGTCATCTTCCTCCGTTGCTTTTTGTACTTTAATATCAACACTAAACAGTAACAAGACATTTAGTCTTTCATAAGTCCTCTTAAGATTCATGAAATATGCTTGATCATTTTGTTCAAGATGATAAAACTCCTGGATAGAGAAATTCTAAAAATTCCATAAGGTCTTTCACACACTCAAAATGATTAAACATGGAAAACAATATTAGCATCATCCCTCAACCATTCCTTATTCTCAGTATTGTCTTTTGATGGACCTCAGTAAGACGATCATCTTTAGATATACTTCAAAGATATATCCTAATGGTCTTGGAGGATAATTTTAACCTGTTAACTCATGTTCGGTGATTGTGGACATTATTGGAATCACATCACTCATGACTAGAGGCTTCTTTTCCCAACCCATCACAACTTGAAATTGATATGAATAAAGATAACCAACGGCATATAACACTAGAAAATGCTTGCAACACTTGAAGCACGGAAAAAATTGTAGGAAACACATATGATAGAGAAAAGCGAAAGTTGAAAAGACAATAATAGAAGAGAAACCTGAATATACAAGGCTACACTTGCTTGAGCTTCGTCTGACAAGCTATTTTGGTTGACCAGAGGGAGAAAAATTCTCCAAAACTAGTGATCATAACTACCACAAATAACCTACTAAGAGTAGTGATGACACCCAAAAAACACAGAAACCCACAAGAGCCTTTGGCTCTGATACCATGTAAGCAAACTGAAACAATTAACTTTATGTATTTTATATAGACAGCATACACATGAATATACACACACCCTAGGCTCTAAATGAGGAAGGGAATCAAATCCATAAGCATCCTCCTAAATATGTATGTTCCTATTCGGTAAATCTTTATATTCTATTGAAAGGAGATCAGACCAATGTGAATGAACTTTGAGGGTGAATTTTTATTGGAAGGAGATTGGACGAGCTTATCTTTTTGGGTCTGACTGTAGACTATTCAAGAGATATTATGCACATACTATTAGTTTAGATGAATTATGATGAGGTGGATGTTTGGTTCCATGGGGATGGATAATATTAGGATTAATGGTGTCCAAAAAGTGGTTGTTCAATTCTGGATAATCATACGGATTTTTTTTGAGGAACCTCTATTTTTTGAGGCACAGCGAATGGATTAAGGCTAATCAACATGGGTCTTTATTTGCAGGGAGCCTCCATTCCTCGGTGTGCTAATGGTACAAACATGGTGATACCCATATCAGGGCCCATTAGTGACAAGGATATGGCTTTGACAGGAACTGCAGCAAGCCTACCTGCCCACAGAACCAAATTTCCATTTTTATATGATTCCAATGGACTGGAAGGCGAATTGGACTTTCTCACTCGTGTGGTTGTACTCACATTCTATCCTGCTGAGTCAACCTGTTCCCCTGTCACTCTCGGTGAGGTACATTGAACATTAAATATGTGTGTTTGCTCTTTCTATTGTTTCTAGTATTTTATAGCTTCACTGAACTGGTGTGTTTTTCTTAAGTTCAAATATAACATTCTTAAAAGACTATTTATTTTATACGTCTTCCTCATCCATAAATTTTAGTTCTCAAGCATCGTAGTGTTAACTAGCGTCTAGCATACCAATATTCATTCAATTTACTTGCCAAAAGGCCCTTTTTGATATGTAGAAAGTAAATGATCCTTTGACATGCTAGACCTTCTTGGAAGTTGGAACTGATTCGTATAAAAGATCCTAATTGACGGTGACCCTGTGAATTAGTTTTCAATATGATGTAGCTAAATAAACGCAGTTGAACCGTTACCTAGTTCTGTGGACCAATATACTTTTTGAAGTATGCAATACTTATATATGGAAAATACTCATGCCCACTCCTTACCTTTGGTCAGGTTTGAACTCTTAACTGGGCTCTTTGGTAAATAGTACCCCCAAACGGTCAGCCAGGGTTGTAAGAAGGCATTGCCCTTCCGGTGCCCTAATATAGCTGGACAAGTTCCAAGGCATGGAAACCTCCAAAGCGGAAGCAAGCTTGACCACCCAGAGGTGGTTCTACTAAGACCATATATCTCATGTCACATATATCCCTTAGTAATAAAATAAGTGGACCAGTTAGTATTGAATGATGCTAATTTAGATTTTTAAGAGAGAGGGAAGGACAAGACTACATTTCCATAAAATATTTGACTGGTATATCTAGTTGCCACCTTTGTGCTCTTTATTTCTTTGGTTATCAATAATGATGGTATTTATTTCTGATGCTAAATTTAGTTACTGATTTGTGAGCTCCATCTCTGTGCTCTTCATTTTTTTGGTTATCGATGATCATAGTATTTGTTTCTGATACTAAATTTTAGTTGCTGATTTGTGTGCTCAATCTTTCATTAATTGTATTTTGCTTTGTGTTTTTTCTCTCTCTGTCCTTCTTGGGGATGATTTGTCTATTAAGGAGGTGGTCAATGTGATTCCTGTTTGATTGCTCTTTACTGGAATATGTCACAGGTAGAGATACTTGGAATTTCTCTTCCATGGAGAGGCATGCTTGCTTCTGAAGGACCTGGCAGAAGGTTATGGGAAAGTGTAAATAATATGAGGGAAGATGCCAACTCTTTCCCATCTGATACGGACAGCAATCCCACTGTTGTTGCTTTAACGAATGATGTGTTGCCACATGAAAAATCTGACACATACACCAGCCCTCAGGTCGACCTCTTATCGGGTGAGGACATTGATTCGGAACCCGTTTCACAACCAATGACAGAAATTAGTTTGCATGATTCATCTCTCGACCTGTGTCATGGTCACAAGGAAGAGGCTGACTCTCAAAGAATTTCACTACAAGATAAAATTCCAATCAAAATGGGTGTGGAGCAGTACATAAGTTGCTTTGAATTGTTGACCGCCATGCATGGGGTATGCTATTTTCTCTGTATTATTTTAATGTTTGTTACCGTTATTGTAATAGTGTCATTTTGCTCCATATAAGCTAGACTAGGTGGGTCAGGATCATGCGTGGGTGAGAAATTTTGATTTTCTGGGCCAATCGAAATCAATGAAACAAAGACCAAAACTTTTCAAAATATATGGTATGGGTTCAGCCCCTTTAAGTACCAGAATTTATATAAGCCATTGGATTGTGTCCCAAACTTGTACATCCTTATGCTGCCACGGGCACTAGCCAAGTTCTCCATTTCCTATGACTATAAGGCTTATGCTAATAATATATTGGTAACTTGCTTAGATATTTCTCCCTTTTCTTTCTTATTTGGCTGTTCTGACCTCCATTCCCTATGACTATAAGGCTAATGCTAAGAGAATATATTGGTGATTTGTTTAGATATTTCTCCCTTCTTGTTTATTCGTCCTGTTCCTGTAGATTTTCTTTTGTATGTTCATAGTCTGGTAGTTTTGCATATGTCTATTGTATCACTGTAATTATCTGCGGATATAAACTTGAAAAGATGTGGTTGATGTGCATACTCTTGTCTTAAATATTTGTTGGTGTATTAACAATGACCGGGATTCTCGTTTGCTTTTTTATTGTTGAGATAACTTCTTTTACAATATGGTTTTTAACAGGCTCTTAAATATGAAAACCAGAAGATTTGAAATTGTAGTTGCACCTGTTAGACCCTCTTTTGTGCATCATTACAACATAGAAACCAATTTTTTGCATGATTTATCCCCCCCAAAAGAACAATAAAATTGCATGATAGTTCAGTGCAATGCACAGAAGCTATCACATTGCAATTTTAATGGTGTTGCATTATCTATAGAGCTTGTGTTGAGGTAGTAACCTCCTTTAACATTATCATTCTGTAATCGTGACTATGGAGTTTTGCAGGATAATAAATTAGGGTTCGTAGAAGCAATGAAACTTGAAATCGAACGTCTTCGCCTCAATCTATCTGCTGCTGAAAGGGATAGAGCTTTATCATCTATTGGCATTGATCCAGCTACTATAAATCCCAACACATTGCTAGAAGAATCTTATATAGGTTCATTATGCAAGGCTGCAAATTCCCTTGCAGTTCTTGGTCAGGCTTTTCTGGAAGACAGGACTACTGGTTTGATCGGTCTTGGTCCTGTTGATGATGATATCGATATAGATTTCTGGAATATTAATAGAATCGGGGAGGAATGTTGCGGTGACCCATGCCAAGTTCGTGCAGAAACTTCAACTTTGACCTCTTCTTCGCAGTCAATATTTTCGTGCTCTGCATGTCAGCGCAAGGTTTGTAGAGTTTGTTGTGCCGGTAAAGGTGCTATTCTTCTTGTTCGAAACCAGACTGGTGGAACGAGTTCTGGTGATTCCTCTTTAAACCGTTCTGTAACAATGGATGGGGTTATTTGTAAGCTGTGCTGTCAACATAGTGTTCTGGATGCATTGACCTTGGATTGTATGAGGGTTTTAATCAGCCAGCGAAGAAGTACTCATGCTGAAACTGCTACTTATGAAGTTTTGAGTCAAGTCGTAGGGAAGAATTACTTCTCTAGGAAAAAGGAGTCATCTGATAAATATGCAGCTGCCAAGTCCTTACAGGAGTTGCTCAATGAAGAGGAATCATTAGCTGAATTCCCATTTGGAAGCTTTTTGCACTCGGTATTATCTTACCTTTGCTTTTTTAAATGCTCAAATAGTAGTAACTCCGATCTGTGCCATCTTGGTAATTAACATGAAATTATCTGCTTTTCACAGTTAACCCTTTGAAGTTGAACTAGTAGCAATAGGAAGCACTTTGTAAACTGGATCACACATTAGAGATAGAGGAACAAACTTAGGGGATGTTTGGTCGGTTTTCCATTAAGGCCTGTATGGATAAAGCTGTCTGTGGATTCTGTATAGATTTTGAAGGTTTTGTTTGAGAGTTTTTTCATAGATGGAAGGAGCGTGCTTTTCATTGGGAGGGACAGGTTTGGAAAAAACTTGGCTTTCTGCATAAAAACTTGACCGAATAAGCGGTGAGTCTCATTAAGCTGCTAACAAACAGGCCCTTACTGTCTCTAGCATGGAATTCTCTTGCTTATTGCCAAACGGTTGATATATTTTAGACCTTTATATGACAGATCTCAAGTAGGTTTCATATATCTGATTGGAGTTTATCTTTTTGACTTTTTGGTTGTCATCATACATTGACATTGCTGATAATCTATGTTAACCTTTTTTATTTGCTCAAACAATATAATAGAAGTGTGTAAGCCCGTTTTATTAGCTCAAACATACAATAGATATGGGATACTATGCTTGGTTGTATCTTCTATAATTGTGTGGGCAGGAGTGGAATCTTTACCTGTTCCTTTATGCCTGTAGCAATAATTGTGACTGGATGGTTGTGCTTTCTAAATTTTCAGTAAAATTATGATGCAAGTTCTTTCCTTGCTCACTGTCCCCAGCGGACATAGAGCATGCGTCAAATTTCTTTTTCCTTTTCATATTAGAAAAGTTGCTGTGCTGAATCTGGACCCATAAATGCCGTCTCCTCTATTGTTCCTGGCTATTAACAACCCAAAAGTGAGGTTAAATGTTTTCGACTTTCCATGATTAATATGGTTCGTGAATAAGCACTGTAACTGAAGAACATGTGGTCGACACAACTCAATGACTAATTCAACTGAAGGGTACCGGGATCCAAATTGATTCACTTTTCAGTGTTACTATACACATTTTTATGGAGATGGCCAGATTTTTACTTGATAAATTTTGTTAAAATTTTTTTTTTTTCTCGTAGGTTGAATCAGCATCAGGTTCAGCGCCTCCCTTATCGTTGCTGGCACCTTTGGATACTGGATCGCGACAGTCATACTGGAAAGCTCCCCCTTGTATCTCTTCTGTTGAGTTCATTATTGTTCTTGGCAATCTTTCTGATGTCTCTGGGGTTGTCCTTCTTGTTAGTCCCTGTGGCTATTCTATGTCTGATTCCCCTACCGTAAGTAAAGAAACTCTCTAAGCTCCTTGTGATAAAAAATGCCAACAATAAGTTGCTTTTTCCTGATGAATACTTCTAGCTTAACACTTCAATGTTTTCAGAAAAATCCTTTAAGGCCCGTTTGGTTTGACGAAATGTTTTTGAGGGATTTGGATTTCGTGGAAGGATTTGGAATCTTTGGTGTGTTTGGTTCGTAGGATTTGGAATGGAATTGAATTTCATTCTTTATAAATTAACAAATTATAAAAAGAATTAAATTACCTTTTTATTAATTGATTATTACAAAACAAGTGTTTTTAACATATTTTAAGACATTACTGCAAACAAATCCTATGAAATCTCGCGAAATACCAATTACCGCTATGGAAATTTCTAAATCTCATGTTTGTAGGATTTCACAAAGATCCTGGGATTTCAATTCCGGACTTTCCTTTAAACCAAACGCGAGATTAGAATGGAACCCAATTCCAAATCCCTATTCCACAAACCAAACGGGCCCTTACTTCATTTCATCATCCTTCAGTATATTTTCATATTCTACTTGACAGCATACAGTTTCCGTAATACTTGTTATCAATGCGGGTTAAAATTTGTTAGAATTTGGTTTTATGTTGTGTGTAGTTCATTTTGATTTCCCTTGTTATGCAGGTGCAAATATGGGCAAGCCAAAAAATACACAAGGAAGAAAGATCATGTGTAGGAAAATGGGATGTTAGATCACTCATCACATCTTCCCCAGAGCTTTCCGGTCCAGAAAAATCTGATAAAACTCTGCGGCACATCAAATTTGCCTTCCGAAATCCTGTCAGGTGTCGCTTGATTTGGATAAAACTAAGTATCCAGATGGTTGGTTCAAATTCCGTTAGCTTCGAGAAAGGTTGCAATCTTTTATCCTTGGATGAAGAAGACCTTTCCTCCGGGCTCGGCAGGCGAGCCTCTATAGCCGGAACATCAGAAACCGATCCATGTCTGCATGCAAAAAGAATTCTCGTAGTTGGAAACTCGGTGAAAGCAGATATAGCAGACTCGTCATCGCGAACTTCTGAGCGGGCTAGCAGCTTAAAAAACTGGTTGGAGAAAGCTCCATTGTTAAACAGATATAGGGTACGGTTAACTTAACGGTCAATCTTTACCAAATAACGTATCTCCAGTAAAAGTCTCGGGATTTCTTGACTGTTATCTCCAGGGTCCCATGGGATTAGTCGAGATGCACGCAAGCTTGCCCGCATACCCATAGAAAGAAAAAACTTAAAGATCGATCTTTTTCAAATAATATATTGCAAGCAACCATTTTTGCAGATTCAGATTTTATCCTCTTTGTTGCAGGTCCAAGTTGAGTCTGAGAAGTTGATTGAAAATGCTCTAGTCTTGGAACAGTTTGTTTCTCTGGCTTCACCTACGGTGGCAGGGTTTCGCCTCGATGGTTTTAGTGCTATAAAACCTCGACTAACCCATTCGCCTTCTTCAAATGTAAATCCATTGGATGCATCATCGATCGTTTTTGATCATAGATTCATATCTCCACCAGTACTACATATTCAAGTATCTACATTACAGGTACCAAAAAATTATTGCATGGTTTTTCCTACTTTTACGGTAGGCCGGTCTTAGTTTTTCCTGGTTTACCGTATGTCAGTCTTGGTTTTTCTTTTGCTTCTAGTAGTTGTCGGTATACTTCTTTATTCTTCCGATCATTGGAATGACCTCTTTGTGATTCATTGTTGTTGCATGTTTGCACATCACGTCTCACGTCTTTTTGTAAGTCCGGGACCTTCATTGGAAAATGTCTCTCTACCCCCATTGGATATAGATATAAAGCTTACGTGCATCCCACCCTAGACCCTATCTTTTTGTGGGATATTTGTTCGGTCTGTGTGAAGGATTAAAGACTATTATGATGATTGCGTACAGGGGTCATCGGAGGAGATGGTGGTGGTTGCAGAGTACCGGATACCGGAGGTGAAGGGCGGCACCGCCATTTACTTTGATCTTCCTAAAGCAATCAGCAGTCGGAGAATATGGTTCAGGCTGGTGGGAGATATTGCAAGGTTTGCGGATGATCCAGAAGAAGGTGAAGGAGGACGTCCGTTGGCTGCAGGGCTGTGTTTGTTAAACCGGATCAAGTTATATTATTACGCCCAACCCAATGATCTTGGCAGATGGGCTAGCCTCTCTGGTATATGATTTCATCATGTCTATAGTCATTTTTGTTTTTATTTTTATTTTTTAACAATTTATTTTTTGTATTTTTAGTTCAGAATTATCAATTTCATCTTGTTTTCAGGGGTGTTTGCGGTTTTCGAAAAACCCGTTTGATTTTTTAAAGTCAAAGTAATAAAATTTTAAAAGCAGTTGTTGTGATAGAACTGATTTTTGTAAAATTACATAGATTTACCTCTTAACAATTTAGAGATTGTCTCTTAATGAAACTATTAAGAGGTAAACAAACAATCACTTAGAAATGACTTAATCGAGAATGCTCAAGTGGATGTGTGGATGAACTATGTCAGAAATGTATTAATTAATTATATTAGAGAAGAAAATATATAAAATGTTAATTGGTCGTTTATTTTATAGTATTGTTTTTTGTTTTTTTTAAGCCTTTCACTTACTACTAAGGTCCAAAACTATATGCCTAAAAAACCCAGATATATTCTTCATCATTCATCGACTCATTTAATTATTTTATTCACATTATATTTATTTTTGTATTAGAATATAATAGATTTATTGTTATTAACTGAAAAATATTAATTTTTGAAACAAAATTGATCATATGAGACAGTTCAATTTATATCTAAATTTATCTATACTATCTTATTAAGCAAATTTAGCAAAAGTCTTAAAGTCTTAAAATTCTAAATTTCTCCTCACATTGAATCGACTTTTTTAAAATTATAATTTTATATTTACATTTTATACCCCTATAATTAATTAATTAATTTACTTTACGACTTTTACTTTTAAATATTGCATTTTAATTTTTTATCAAATTAACATACATAATCGTATATCAATTAAAACATGTTTAAAAAATACATTTTTATTTTAACAAGTTACACCATTATAATTGTCGAATACCTTCAAAATGAGTCTAATATTGAATAGTTTTTTACTTAATTATATTATTATATATTATATATACTGTGAAAAAATATTTTTAATATTTACGATTTATACTTTTATAGTTATTTATTTATATATATACTATTTGGGTTAGGCCGTCCAAATTGCACTGTATAATATGTTCTGAATTAATATGTTCTTGGGTTTTTTTGAAATATATATATACATGTATTAATTCAACCATAATCTGAGTTTCTGGACAAGAAATATGGTAAGCAGTTGAAATTTCATTCTAAAACTCATCTTTTTTTGTCTTTTCATGACTTATAATCTCTCAATTTTGTAGTTTTCTTTATTGGTTTTGAGTGTTTTATCTTAAAACTCAAGTTTCTTAGTTCTTTGTTCTTGGTGTAAATCGAACACATTTGTGGAATCGTTTAAATATGTTGGATTTTAAATATATTGGATTTTAAACTGTCATATAATTTTTTCCATCGATAGTCTGTAATTGGAACCATAACTCTTATTTATTCAAATTGCATTAATATGTAAAGACCAAGTGTAACCTATATTATCGTTAAATTTTATCTTATAAAACCAGTGAAACTTCAAAATCGTTAAAATTCATGGCTCCCGTCATATTGCACGGGTACACAACTAGTGATTTCAAAACTAAATCTGCTTTTTCATACATTATTGACTTCTTGTTACCTAATATTGATGAATTTTAGGTACTCTTCTATGATTTTACCACTTAGGATAGAGGAAAGATTCCGTACATCTTATCCTCTCTGTCTCTTCAAACCCCATTTCACTTGGAATGCAATTAGATTCAGTTATAATTCTAACTTTTATTGTATACCGAGAAATAAATAAAAATGTGTCGTATGTTCAAAACATTCACGAGATATTTATTGTGAATGATGTAAAAGTTTATAATGAATGTTATAAAAGATGTTTTTTTAAATCGAGTGAAAATGTATATATATTATCTACTTATTAATATTCAAAAATGCTTATTATCGATGTAAAAACCGAATAATCAATAAATTGTTTTTTTAAAAGCAATCACAAACACCCCTAAAATTCGTAAGTTTAACGGTTTTATCATAGTTGACGATGAACCATCGGTCACCACCGCCGAATCTTTTCTTCTGGTCACGCAACCATTTCACTGCGTGAGGGAGACGCTCAGGTCCTTTCTGGTTCTGGTGCCGGCAGCTTCGTCGGGTTATCTCTTTTAAAGGTTAGGGTTTTCACTTCTGATGTACAATTCCAGTATACATACATGTGATATGTCATATATGCCTCTTCTTGTAACGGGATTGTAGCTAGAGTTGAACGGATTATGCAGGTAATTCATGCGAAAACATAAATCTATAGTGTAATTTATGGAATAGATAGTACAAAGAATTTAGTTAATATCTGTTAAGAATGAACACGTTTGTGATCGAACAATAGCTGCCTTTATCTGTTTTTTAGTTGATAGTTAATTGTGTAATGCTGTTGATTGACCTAGTTTAATTCGATTCGGATAAGGGTGCTGCACCAGACAGTCTTCGATTTAGTTATTTCCATGTAAATCTAGAGAACTTAAAGGATAGGTTGGTGTTCAACTGTTTGTTAGTTATACATCTCGTAAGTGGAGGGTGCATTTGACTGTTTGACTTCACGATTCTATGTGTGTCCATGTCGTTCTTTGAAGGAGGGGGGGGGGGGGGGGGGGGGGGGGCACTAGAGCATTTGTATTGCTCCAACATTGGTTCTTTTGCTAACAGGTGTGATTTTCTTGCAGTGAATGTGAAATACACTTCACTTATGTCTTCCATACAGGATCCATATTACATTGTAAAGGAGGATATCCAAGATTTGGTAATATTTTTACATCTCCTGTGTTTGTTATGTTTTAGTTATATGATCAATGTTCTTACATCATCTTTCAATTGTATGAGTTCAAACTATATTCCCTGATAAAACATCGGTGGTGAAATTGGTGATTTCTGCTCTAAATTGCTAAGAACTATGATAAGAAGGTCTTGTACTTCGGAGAAAGGAAACCAAGTTTCTGTTATGGTCATGAAAATAGGTTCTTGGAATACTCCATCTATATGAAACCCAAGGACAAAGAATGTGAGGCAAAACCTTTCATTCTAACTCCTCTCAATAAAGTAACTTCAGCCAGACATCCCAAATTGAATAGGAGCCAGGATACAGCCATAACTTATCTTCAACCGCTTAGCTTCCACACACCATCCTGCCATGTTCTTGATTAAACTTGAACATCCCTCTTGCTCTGACTAGCAGCAGCTCTCCCTTTACTTATGGGACTAGTGTGGCTCATTTCTCAATGATCTTGGACAAGGGAAACCTTGCTGTAAAGTTTAAAACAGAATAAATATTGGGACTTAGACCCGCCTTAGAATATGATCAAATTCAGTGTTCAAGCTAGAAGCATATATTGCAATTTTCTGTAATATGCTCTTCCTGTAAGCCTCTTACTGGCAGATTAGAAAAACTTGTCATCCTACTTGATTCCTGCTAAACCAATCGCTACCTGCATGACCCTTTAATTAATCTCTTGCAAACGCACTCTGATGCATTTTATTTTGTTTCTAAAAAAAGGATATAGGCAGCAGGCTTAATCACGCTTTGCTCCATCCTTAGTGGTGTGTTGCTACATTCAAGTAGAGGAATGWCTTCTATGGTGCCACTAAAACATTAAGGTTTCAGTTTATCGATGTTTGCCTCCTATTCATTTTCTTTAAACTTTTTCGACCAAGTTGGTGGGCCATGGAGACATTTCTACAAAAGGTGGTCAAGGAGTTGTATGTTAAAAGACCCTGATCTTTCTTGCTGTAGCTTTTTGGTGCTCAAGGAGTTGTACTCTCCTATGTCTATGTGTGTTAGGTATTGGAGACTTGCACACCTTTCAGTCTTTATATTTTTACCCCCTGTATTTTCTATTGAACTACACCATGAGATAAGTTAATCATGCTTTCTCGTTGCACATTTGTTGTAATTTTTCCTATTTCATACCTTCACTCACAAGTCCACATCCCCTTGCCTTGATTTCGGTTATGTTCTGTTTATGCTTCTTAGTCATCAACATTTGAAGATTGAATAACTATCTGATGATGAAATTTTGTGGTTCAATAGATTGATAAGTTGCAGTTCACTTTTCGCCAATGGGAAAACATCTCTGCCAACGGTGAAGAGCACTTTCATCTTACAAAGGAACTCCTTGAGAATTGTGATAGCATTGAGTGGCAGGTATAAGTTTACTTCCATAATAGATTTGCTGTTTTGCAATTGATGGAAGCATCTTCTCCTATTTCTATGCTGATTCATTTACGTCATTTATGTGATCATCGAATGGACTTGTCCTCTTACCATAGATGATCTTTAGCAAACATAAAACATTTACAGACCTTCCTTTAGCACTATCCATCCTGGGGAATACCTCAACCACTATTTGTTTTGTTCATATTATTATTGTTATTATTATAATTGTTTTGTTAATCATATAGGCTGCTTATGTAATTTACATAGGTTAAATTTCTTGGTCGTTGGCCCATCTTGTACACTATATATTCCTCATTTGTAATGCTATTATCTTGTATTTGACCTCTCAGTTTACATTTATCAATAAAAAAGCATCCTGTTCTGTCCCGTAAAAAGATTTTTTTCCTGATAGGAAGGTAGGTGAATTAGAGAAGACAATTTCTGTTGTGACAAGAGACCCTGCACGGTTTGGCATCAATGAAGTGGAGCTTGAAAAACGAAAGAGATGGACCAGCATTGCGCGGACTCAGGTTCCTTCTGTGCTCCTGAGAAAGTTTTAGCTACACTTAATTTTGCTATTTTTTGATTACGTTTCTGTTACTTCTGCACATGTCATGGAAATAGCATCCCTACCCTTCGGTTAAAGGAAATGTATACATTTCAGCCTCCCCAGACTCTGTGGGATTTACTTGGTTCATTTGGTTTTAATTTTGCACATGGAATTCCTTAATTTCTGAAACAGTGAAAGTTCATGTTTAATCAGGTGGGAAACGTGAAGAAAGTATTGTGTGGCAAAGATGTGAATGGCGTAAGCATATCAAGGAGGAATGGAGCACACAGAGAACTGATGAGAATGCCAAATTCTCAACGGCTGGATGGATCCCAGCAGTACATTGCTGGAGAGAATGATGATTTCAGCTCTTCAGAATCAGATAGACAAATGCTTCTCATCAAGTAGATCATTTCCCCCTTTATTTCATTCTATGTTGCTCTTTCTTTAAGCTATGCTTGTTTATTTAGGTGCTCTTCAACTTCCATTGTATATCTATTTTCAGTTTTCATGTTTATGTAGGACAACCCCCCCCCCCCCTCTTTTATCTGATGGATACAAAGTGCAAATGACCTTTGTTTAGCTCTTTTTTTGTATTTATTTGTATCTTTTTCAATTAAAATGATAGAGAGGGAAGATTAGCACTCCCCTCTCCTATATCTTATCTATCACTGGAAACGTGCTTATAGAGATCATGTTTGGCCTCACTTGGCCAAGTTTTGTTATGTTTAGCCTCACTTGTAGTATAATAAAGATGAAAACTTGGCACTGATTTTAAATGTTTGTTTGGATGAGGAGGATCAGTTGTTTCCAGAGGCAATAGGGCCATCATCTCCTCTGCCAACTTTTATACACCTACAAGGTCCTGACGGTCATAAGGCCTGGGTTCACCTGTTCTTGTAATGGTAATGAGCCTCACCCTGGACCTTGTGAGGTGGAGTTGGGCATGCATAAAGAAGGCAACTTCTTCATTTTAGGCTTTGGATCCACTCCCCCAGTATGCAAATAAGAATAAGGACAAAAGAAAACAGAAAGTTATTTTCTCTAATATTCCAACCAAATCACGCTTTGTCCAATTTTCGTTATTTGATCATATGTTATACACACACACACACACACACATATATATATATATATAGAGAGAGAGAGAGAAAGAGAGGGAGGGAGGCAGGTTTAGGGGAAAACCTCAAAAAAATTGAAAACCCGAGGAACACCCTAATAACCGTTCATCTGTATGGTATGCACATGTGCATACAAGCAATTGAAGATGTTTCCTGGTTTCTATGCACATGTGCATACCGGAAAAATTACTTACAAATTACTTGTATGCACATGTGCATACCGTACAGATAAACGGTTACTAGGGTGTTCCCTCAATTTTTCATCTTTTTGCGGTTTTCCCCTGAACCTGACCATATATATGTGTGTGTGTGTGTGTTTGTGGGTGTATGTATGTATGCATGTATGTAAGCATATTTTTCTTTTCAATATTTTAGTCAGTTACTAGTTAAAACACTTATGTTGAGCATCAATGCTGCATTTTGTTCAACATCCTTTTTCTTTTGAATAATTATACCTACTCGTGGTGTTGGGAGATAGATGGGGAGAGTTCTTTTGAACAAAAACCAAAATGACCTGTTTTGAGGGTTCTTTGCATGGCCTTGTAGATATGCAGATTCAAAGAAAAGCAATATGCCGGCTGTTGGCTATATTCAACCTGCAGCTTAATGTTTTCTTTGTCCTTATCTGATCAGACTATTTTGGTTTTGGACACATTAAAAGAACTCAGGCTGACTTTGTATCAACCTATTAGACGGTAGTCTGGAGTGAGCTGATCATATCACTCTTATCCTAAATCATATCACACATTTTGCCTAATAGGGTCCGCATAGTAGTTACGGGATTAAAACATGCATAATATTAAATAAAAAAGACGTTTTCTTTCATATCATGATATTTAACTAAAGTTGGTACTTGATCTGTTCTCCATTCTGATTTCTTTAAACTGAGGCTTTGTCTGTTCTCATGATTGATGATTTAATGGATGTTTGAAGGCAACAAGATGAAGAACTGGATGAGATGACTGAAAGCGTTCAAAGGATAGGAGGCGTTGGCCTTACCATCCGTGAAGAACTCCTAGCTCAGGTAACTTCAGTCTTGGCCATCTTATTTTCAAAGCTGGTGTCTTGTATGCTAACTTAGGATCTCATGTGAAACCGCCTAGTTTTCGTCACACCACCATGGAGCCCTTGGATGAGTTGATCTCGCCAAACTCACAGCAAAACACCGAACCTTCACATCAAAAAATCGAACCTTTACATGAAAAAAAACGAGCCTTCATATGAAAAAACATCGCAAACTTTCATAGGAAAAACATAACGAACTTCCATAGGAAAAACACACAAACCTTCACAGGAAGCACACACCAAATCTTCACAGTTCTCTCATGGGTGTCAAGAAAAGTCGTTGGTCTAACCAGAAGGCAAAATAAACCAAACGAACCAGTATATCTCACTAGAAAGTAGGGTTCGTTGGTGCGACATACACAGACTTATCCTCTACCCCGCAGAGCATCTATTTCCGTGAAGACTAAAAATCCCCAATTTGCGAAAAGAATATATAAGCAACCATAAGTTAATGGATGTGAAACATTATCTATAACCGTTCGTTAACAAGTTGATTTCTTTTCGGTACTTTAGGATCGGATTATAGATGAATTGGGTACGGAAACAGATGACACAGCGAATCACCTTGATTTCGTTCAGGTAAATTCTTCGACTTCGCTTTGATCCATATCAAGTTTGGTAGGTATATCCTGATGATGTACCTTGTTTGTAGAAAAGGGTGGATACTGTGATGAAGAAGGCTGGGATAAAGGGGCAGTTGATGATGATATTGTTTTTGGTTCTTTCACTTATTGTTTTATTTGTTTTGGTTTTCTGTACCTAATAATGGATAAAGGACTCTGTAAACCGAAAGGGTGGTGCCTGATTGGTTTGAGTTTGGCTTCAAAGGTCAAAAGTACCAGGAGGTCCTAGATTCAAATCCAAGGAGGAATAAAAATCCCCTTTGTGGCCACGGAGGTTCAAATGCGGTGACTCCGGGTTATCTGCAAAGCAGGTGGTCGTCCTGGGATTAGTCGGCTCGCATAGCGGGTTGGATATCCAGGTTAAAAAGGAGTATGTATTTCAATTGTATGGAATATTAACATGCATGCATTAATTTTAAAAATCCTAAATCCAACCTACTTTTATGAAAATATAGCTTCAAAAAACAGATCTAAGGATATTATGCTTCAAACGTGACATAGATGAAGCTTGATGTGTTTTTAAAGCATTTTTTTTTTGGAATATATACTACTTTTTCAAACTATAAGCTTTTAAATAAACGTTTCTTAAGCTACAAGTCTTGTGTTTTTTTAGGTATGGTTTTTAAAGTAGAAATTGAATAAAGGTTTGTTTCTTTTTTGTGCAATTCGACCCGAATAGAAAGATTAGTGAAGGAATTTAATGTGGCTAACGGACTAAGGGGTCGTTTACCAAATACTTACCCGATAAGCATTTGCCGGTAAAATTTAATACCATTATTTACTTACCGGGTAAGATTTTAGTCCACAAAAACGGTATCGTATGCAATATTTTATCCGGTAAATGTTTACCGTGATAAGAGTCGTCGTCCTCACTTACCAGGTAAGACTTTTGGTTCTTGTCTCGCTCTTACCAGATAAGATTCTTGGTCCTTACCATATTCATCTGGTAAGAAAATATGACTTGATGTTCACTTATCCGAGTAAGTATTTGATAAATGGCCCCTAAGTTGGTGCTTAATTGAGGTACTATAATACTTGGGGGTGTTTATCAGTTAAAATCTAATGAATTTAGGTGGATTCGATCTGATCCGATCATTCATTGAATGTTGGATTTTGTCATCTAATCTAATCCAACTAACATTGGACATCTGATTCAATCCAATAAGATGGAATTCATCGGATTTGATCGCTTCCATCCATTGGATATTGTTATTAGTTATCCATCGGGTCAGATTGGATTCATCTAATATTTTGATTCAATTTTCAACTAATGATTTATATATTTTCTTAAGTTATTGAAAAACAATGTATATAAATATCAAAGAAAAACATGGTAAAATGTTAATAAATTATATATAATTATTAATTGGATGGTCATTGGATTGGATAGGTTCAGTTTTTATTGGATGTTGGACTACCATTCAAAAACAGACCGATCCAATTTGGATGTTGAAATTTTGGGTCCAATTCGATTCAATTACAATTGGATATTCACTTATGGTCGGTCGATTTAAAATTGATCAGAAAACCTTTTGCACACTATATTGGTATTGATTTTGATATATAACAACTAAGTGTATCTCTAACAGCTATGTTATTTTTTAAATTTTGGAAAATGATTGCTCTAATAATTACGTTGAACTTTCATTTAAAAGAAAAACGAGAGCAAATAAAGAAATCTTCAAATTTAAAAAAATAAAGAGAAAAGCATAATGTTCAAGATGTTTAACACATTATTTTTGTACTTTTGGGACTAGAAAAATGACCAAACACTTAATTGGAAGACGGAATAGTTTCTTTATTTAAGATATATATATATATATATATATATATATATATATATATATATATATATATATA